TCTTGTTTAACATCGCATGGAATTATTCACCAATCATCATGTGCTCATACACCACAACAAAATGGTGTTGCTGAACGAAAAAATTGTCATTTAGTTGAAACCGCACAGACTCTTTTACTTCAACACAATGTACCCTCTCATTTTTGGGGTGATTCTCTCCTCACCGCATGTCACCTTATCAACTGAATGCCTTCATCGGTCCTTCAAGATCAGATTCCATACTCTATCTTGAGTCTGCAATATGATCTCTACCCCATTCCCCTTCGCGTTTTTGGTTGCACATGCTTTGTTCATGATCTTAGTCCGGGTAAAGACAAAATTTCCGCTACATCTCTAAAATATATTTTTCTAGGCTACTCATGTATACAAAAGGTATATTGTTGTTTTTGTCCTCAACTTCAACGATACACTGTCTCCTCCGATGTTACATTCTTTGAAGGTTCCTTTTTCTTCTCTGCCTCTTCGTCACCCGATGAAACTTGTAATCTAGATGATCAAGATATCCCTTTTGTCATTCCTACTCCCATTAAACCTCCTTTACAGGTATATCAGCGATGCACTTCGCGTCCATCGGCAGTTAGAGATGATATTGATCCACCAACACCATCCCCTACTCCAATTGTTCCTCCAGCTACGTCACCTGAACTTGACCTTCCAATAGCATTACGAAAAGGTATTCAATCTCATAATCCAAATCCTAAATATGTTTGTGTTTTAAATTATGATCGTCTTTCTACTTCCTATGTTTCTTTTGTGTCTGCTTTGGGTTCAGTGTCTATTCCTAAGTCTACATGTGAAGCTATGACTAATCTCAATTGGCGTCAGGCGATGGTGGAAGAAATGGCTGCCTTGCATTCAAATAACACTTGGGACATTATTCCTTTGCCTTCAGACAAAACTACAGTGGGATGTCGATGGGTTTATACAATGAAAGTTGGATCAGATGGTTAGATTGATTATTTTAAAGCTCGTTTGGTAGCCAAGGGATACACACCGATATTTGGTCTTAATTATAGTGACACTTTTTCTCCAGTGGCCAAGATTAGTTCAGTTTGTTTCTTCCTTGGAATGGCTGCTATTAACCACTGGTCGCTTCATCAGTTGGAAATTAAAAATGCCTTCTTACACGGAGAAATGAAGGAGGATGTGTATATGGATCAACCTCCCATTTTTACTTTTCATGGTAATTCAAGACTTGTTTGTTAGCTTCATCGCTCTCTTTATAGGATGAAACAGTGTCCACGTGCTTGGTTTGGTCGCTTCAGCTCTGCCTTGATATAGTTTGGTATGACTAGATGTGAAGCAGATCACTCTGTTTTCTTACTTCACTCTTCCACCGGTCAACATATTTTTCTTGTGGTTTATATTGATGACATTGTTATCATTGGAGATAATACAGAGAGTATCTAGTGACTCAAAACTCACCTTTTCAAAAACTTTCAGACAAAAGATTTGGGTCCACTCATATACTTATTAGGTATTAAAGTTACCCAGTCCTTACCAGGCATTGCAATTAACCAGCATAAGTATGCATTAGACATCTTAATTGAAACTGGTATGATTGACTATCATCCGATTGATACTCCTATAGATCCTAATGTCAAGCTTCTTCCGGATCCTGGGGAGTTGTTGAAAGACCCAAGAAAAAATCGACGTCTAGTGGGTCGACTCAATTATCTTACCGTCACCAGACTGGATATTACTTTTGGAGTGAGAATTGTGAGTCAATTCCTGAATTCTCCTGGTGATACTCATTGAAATGCAATTATTCAGATTCTCAGATATATAACGAATGTACCAGGATAGGGCCTATTATATGAAGATAAGGGTGATGCTAAAATCATTTTTTATTCAAATGTAAACTGGGCAGGATCACCGTCAGATAGGAGATCCACTTCTGGATATTGTGTTCTTATTGGAGGAAATATGATCTCATGGAGGAGCAAGAAACAAAACACTGTTGCACTATTTAGTGCTGAAGCTGAATATCGTGCTATGACAGCAGCCTCAAAAGAATTTGCATGGCTTAAGAATTTACTCTCAGAACTTAAGTTCAGTGACCTTCAGACCATAAAACTCATATGCGACAATCAAACGACACTACACATTGCTTCCAATCTGGTTTCCACGAACGGACCAAACACATAAAAATAGACTGTCACTATGTAAGAGATAAGGTATTGTCAGGAGAAATAACCACATAATTTATCAAATCTGAAGATCAATTGGCTGATATGTTTGCCAAGTCTCTCAAGGGTTCTCGAGTGAATTATATTTGTAACAAGCTCAGATCATATAATATATATGATCCGTCTTGAGTGGGAGTGTTAAGAATCCGTTAGTAATCAATTAGTATTGATTGATATTCAATTAATAATTAGTGTAATTGATATTGTTTTATATTGTATATTTCCTATTTGCATATAAATATACACCAAGTGTAATTATATTCGACACACAGAGATATAATTATAACAACGACCTTAGCCTTTTTGAGAATCATATCGAGTTTTTGTTTAATCTGAACCTCCCATTTCGTGCTCTCACGGATCTACACCATCACAACAATCAAACAAAAATAAATTTGATAGGAAAATAAATCTGATAAAGTGTTAACAAACACTAAGTGTTATGCTAAACTGAAATGGATTATATCCAAACAAAGTGTCTGAAATTAATTAGGGTTGAAACTAAACAAAAATATATCTAAAATAAAATGCAAATTAGATTATTCAATTTGAAAAGAAAAAAATAAGAATCATTGATACTGGTTTGAAATGAAATAATTGAGGTAATCAATTTTTATATATTGATTTACTTTTAATTTTCTTAAAATAATTAAAAAATAAAAAAATTTGAAAATGTGTGTCTCTCTACTGTCATTTTTCCCCTCTTGTACGCTTTCACTTTTTTTTCTAAAATCGGCCAAAGTTTCTCTAATTCTACACTCCAAACAAAAATTGCAGTACATGTTTTCCCCATTCATCTCTGAAATCAACTTTATCTACATAAACAATACAAAATCTAAGTAACAATCTGTTGAACGATTATAATATTATATCAATATAGTTTATAAATTGATAACAAAAATCAAAGAGGATGGGGATTCTGAGAGTTTTTTAGAGAGGCTCTGGAATAAAAACAAAAGTTTTTCAAAATAGTGAGACAATTCACACTACACCACATTCAACATATTCAAGCAAAAACCAAAATTCATTGAAATCAAACTCAGATCCAAATTTAAATCCAAAATCAATTGAAAAAGCAAAACATTAGGGATAATAGAAACATAACTCACCATTACCTTATACTACCTTCAATCGAAAGATCCGGTCATAATAAAACATCACTTTCGACCAAATAATCTTCGTGTGGGCCTCTACTCCGACACGCCACCATCGAAGCTATTTCTCTGTCTATTTTCCTGTTCGACGAGTTAAAGGAATGAAAGTGTGAGGATTCTGAGAAGAATCAGAAAGAAAAGAGAAGCAAAATGATAGAGAAAGGAAAGAAAAAGAGGAAAGTAATGAAGAGATAAAGAAGTATCTTTAGTCTTCAGAACAAAATTGAAAAATATAGCTTTTTATTTATTCAGTTTATTTGAAAAGCTGACAATGGAAGATTGAAGGAAGGATTTACGGTGTTGTGGAGGGGAAGTGGAAAGAAAACTGTGTGTACGAATGAATGAGAAAAATAGTAACAGAAAAAACTTTAATAATTGGATGAAAACACTAAAGAGGAATTAGAAATGTTGTGTATTTTCCAATAGATTTTGAATCAATGTTATTGCCGCTACACGATACTCAATATATATTAAGTGTAAATATTAACTGAAATAACTAATTAGGGTTAACAATAATTAGTCTGATGAAATTACGTTTATGAGTATGTAAAATGATTGTTAAACAAATTTAGTGATTAGATTTAGGTAATTTTGATAGTATATTACTTTATTATATTAAAAATAGATATCAAATTAATATTTTTAATTCAATATAATTCTGAATAAATTAAAATGGTTCGATTCTGTTTAAATGAACTTTTACTATAATTTAATTTGATCAAATTAATTTTCTTTTAATAAAAAAAACATGTATGAACAACCTTAGATAAGAAGACGTGAGTCTTTTTGTAGAATGAGTTTTGAGATATGTGAAACGGTGGAGGCATGCATGACTTTTGTGTCATTTTGAAATATTTTATTGATTTACTTCATTCGTTTAAAAAAATTTGTCGATTAAAGTTTTTGTCCACAAATTAAAAAATGCAATGATATTGTCATAAAACATTACACTTTTATAAAATTAACCTTATTAATGTATTGAAAGTAGTATAGATAGTAAAAAGTAAATGATACAATTGAAAAAATAATAATTATTACTACATTGAAAAGTGAGAATGACAATCATTTTGAAACAATTTTTTTATTATTAAAACAACATTCATTTTGAAATGGATGAAGTAATATATACAGTATAATGTAACGTTTGAGGGTGTGTTTGGATTGACGGTGAAGATAATTGATTCTAGTATAATTGAGTTTCATATAATTGATTTTCTAGAAATTGAGTTTGACAAAATTAATTTATATTTGAATACATTTATGTAAAAATGAATTGAAGAATAAATTTTAGTGTAAAAATCATCTAGAATCAATTCTAGAGACAAAAGCTATAAATTATAGCTTAAAATAAAATCAACTTTAAAGACAAAATGAATTCTACTTTTGCCTAATCAAACATCTCAAAATTAATCAGAATCAATTCTACGTCTATAAAATTGCTTTTCGTCATTGTAAAAACCAAACCAAACATGCAATAAAATGTTGTTGGTAAACTTTTTTAAATTCCCTAACCATAGGCAAAATTCTAAGAACTTCAATCAAAACGTCTTCTTAGAAAAAGTGCTTCTCCAAACACCACACTAGTGGCGCGTCATCTTCAACCACTTCGCTGCGTCGTCGTCACCTTGTTGTACAACACCATCCTGAACGGCGGACGATGAAAGGAACGGTGGCCGAAGTTGCAATCTTCGCCGATACAAATCTCGGCACTCGCATTGCTTTCAATTCCCCTTTTCACGTTACAGCCGGAACACTCAAAAGTAACAACGATAACTACAACTATTACTTTTATTCTATTTCTTGCTTTTAACTAGGTTACCCATTTTCAAATTCATCTCTTTTTCTGCTTCAGATTATGTGTATTTCTCTTTCTACATCATGTAGACTACATGTTTGTGTTAGGTTTTCAATTTTTTTAGTAAAAATATTTTAAACTTGATTTTAGTATTTTTCAGTTCCGGTTCGGTTCCATTCTAGAACTGATTGTGCAACATGGTTTGATTCACTACCCATACGGTTATTTTAACTTCAGTTTGGTTTCCCGGTTCGGTTCAATTTGAGATGTAGGAAAATTTAGACTTTCTGTTATTCACTTCTCTTAACAGGGGGAGTTTTTTTCAATGATATTAATCATCGACGGCCTTCGGCGATTGATGAAATTGTTGTTCAACTTTGAGTTTATCAGGTTCTGTCAAAAAAAGTCATTGATGCAATTATTGTTTTGCAGGAGATTTTGAGAAAGTGCACTTCACTTGTTTACCGGACATAGGAGAGATTCAAGTTCATGGATTAATGGTATGTATATGCTTTCTTTTTTAGTTTGTGTCTTTTGTGAGTTTCTGGTACAAGAAGTTTGTGTTTATCATATTACTGCATATTGTGCTAGGTGAGGCGTAAATCGTGCTTCTACTACTTGCCTGATTCCTTTCCTGTAAAGAATGTTTTCCCAACGATGAGAGAAACATGGTTTCTTCATGTGGAAGTAAGGCCTGTATCATGTTTGCGAGTTCCATGTTTACCCTGTGATGCGGCTACTGCTTTAAAACAACGGAACTTAATGACATATAACTGTAAAACTAAAACAAGATGCAACATTGAAGAAAAGAGAGAGGAAGAACTTAACCCCTGCGCATATCCATCAAAAGAGAATGAAGTTATTGATCACGTTTTGAAGGAAAAGGGAAATTCTCATGAAAATTCCGAGCATGGAATGCAAGAAAGAGACTCCTGCAGATTTGGAGACAAACCTACTAGCACAGCCAGTGCGATGCCAGAGACTAATGTTGAATTTCAGGTTGAATTGTGTGCTAGCTCAGTGCAAGAAACCCCGAGTAAGATGTCGACACAAGTAATATCAGTCTCTGGTATAATTAATAAATATTTTTCAGGTTTCAACGGCATTAACAAATTTAGCAGCTCTTCAAACTCTGATGTTACATCTCGAGTTGTTCATAGTGAGATTGAAGTTCAATCAAACACAGGAGGAGCACACAGTTGCTCAAAGAAACAAGTTGATTCATTATCACAGTTCAGTCCCAAAACACCTCCACACGTTCCATTGCACGTTGAGTTTGTTTCCAAAAATTCAGGTAGCAAAACTAGGAAACCCAAAGTTGAGAAATGTAGCAGAAAAAGAAGATCCAAAGTTGAGAAATGTAGCAAAAACAGAAGATCTAAAGTGGGGAAGTTTCTTCTATCAGCTTCAAAGAGTCTTGGGGCTTCTAACAATAAGCAGAGTCCCGCACTCTCTTTATGTAAATTCAAAAATATAAAGCTACTAGAGGAAATATCCCAAATTAATCATTCAATATTTTCCATATGTGATAGTGATGATTGACATTATTATCGTGTAGACTGTCAAAACGGTGTATATATGATGTAACCAATTATATTTTGATCTGTTTATTTTGGCAACTACATTGAACTAGTAGACATTCTCATTTGTGGGAAACATGTTGTAACTTTAACTTATAGGTTGCAAGAAAGCAAGCAGATCTGTAAGTGTCTAGCAGTTTGTTACCGAAATAGGTCTTCTTTATTCGGGTTCATGGAGCAACCAACTGTTGAAGATCAAAGTCCATTTTGTTAAAAAGGTATAATAGGTAATTTTATTAGTTCTCAAATGATTGTTTAAACATATAGGATACTGCCCTATAATTATTTTACAAAATAATGAGCAATGTACTTATTAATAATTGTTAGTTTTCTATTTGTGTAGGATTGTTAAGTCAATACTTTATGGCAATGGGTAAAAGGATCAGAGTTACATACAGTGCTGTAAGTGCTTATTGTTTCATCTTATAAAAGAAAGTTTTTTTGTTCAACATTACTAAAGTCACCATCTATATTAGCAAATTTGTCTGCATGCATTAGGTAGACCATAAACACGGGCAATGTCACATAATTGTTTTTTTAAAGGAATTGCTAATCCCACTTAAAAAAACACCCTATGAAAATTTGAAAATGTTCATCTGATTCCGAAAAATGTATATTCAGACATACAATTCATTTATTTTTGAGACAAGTCTCAATTTTATAACTAAATTTATTTTAAAAATGCGTTTACGAAGTCATTCTTTCTCTGGAAAAACTTATGTTATAGTCTGTCATTCTATGCAAATAACTTTTTTTTTTATAAAAATTAAAACTAAGGATACCTTGTATTTTGAGATAAAACATTGCTCCATGTTAAGAATAATCAGAGATATTCAAGAATGAAGTTACTAGACATGATGAGTATACACTAGTAGTTGCTATATGTTAATCCCATGAAATAGTATTTCGAAGACAAATTACTCTCTTCTTGGCAATCATGTATCCTGGAGAATACTTCAAGAATGGAGTTACGGACTTATCAAATTGTTTAACATATTTTTTATCCTTTACTATACAACATATTTTTCATCTCCCAAGTTTAGCGTTTAGCTCATCAGCTTTAGAAGCTTAAACAAGCTGTGGCACGTGGCACGACGGCCTTCGGCCTCAATTGAATTGAAATGGAAATTACATCTACCTGAGATTTTATGTTGTTTTGCTTTTCCTCCCCTGCCGGCATGGAACTGTGTAAGTGAGTGTAAATGTGAATACGGTAATGTATTTCTGAAATACATTTAGTTCTAGAATTGAGGTGTGTTTCAAAAACGAATGAGTTGTGTATGTAGCGTTTGAAAATATATTTCTGAATTTTAGAGGTATTTTGATTTTTTACGAAGGTGAAGGAGCAATTTTTAAAGTGTGTTAATCAATTTTTCTTCTTCTAATGCACCATGTTAACCATGCAGAAAGTCTATCTTCACCAAAATAGCCCAACTTACACACTAATTTAAGTCCATAAATCAATCCCTCGTAGTTCAGCCAAAATGGAAGTAACTTGATCAAGATTACAAGCATCTAGAACTGAATTACCATGGTAAGATTGTATCGGGCTTGTGTTCCATTCCTATGTGGAAAAGACCCAAATATAAATAATTTATTTATCTCACTTATATAAGTGGAGAATGTCAATTTAGGGTTAAGAGAGATAGAGAAAAATAAAGATTCAAAAAGAGAGAAAAGAGGAGAGAAACACATTTCCGCTTTTCTGCAGCATTCTCACTAAAACTACAATTCCCGATTCGTTTACCGTCGGATCGAGTTGAAATTTGGTGGACTTGTTCGCAACACATATATCTAATTTTCCATCGTTGGGATCTTTAAAACAAGGTCTGAGTTGAGAGATACGTACGGTCTTCGCATTGAAGCTGCAGATTTGGGAAAATTTTCAACTTTTTTATTCTTATTTGTAAGTTAGTTTTGCTTTGTGATTTGCAGTTGTTATCGTTATTTTGTGAATCACTTTAAGACTCTCTTGTAACCTCCATTGATTATAGTAGAGCTATTTTCTTTGGTCTGGACGACTCGTGATTTTTACTCTCATATTGAGGGGTTTTCTACGTTAAAAATATCAGTTTTCTTTTTGTGCCTTTATTGTTAGGTTGTTGTCTTATATTTGTTGTTGATCCTCAAGGTTCCTACAAGTTTGGGAAATATTATATCCTCCGCATATTGTTCTGTTATTTTGTCTTAATTTCCCATCAGAGTGGTATCAGAGCCTGGTTAAGGGCTATTTTACTTGTTTGAATGATGAAGTCAAATACAAAATGAAGATGGTATTGTTGAATGATTCTAATTACCATTTATGGAAGGGCAAGATGAAAGACTTACTATTTGTGAAGAAATTGCATTTACCAGTTTTTAGTTCCATAAAGTCGGATTTTGTGTCTGATGTAGAATGAGAGTTTGAACATCAACAAGTATGTGGTTTTATTCGACAATATATAGAAGATAATGTTTATAATCTTATTGCTAATGAGACACATGTAAAAACTTTGTGGGAGAAGATATAGTCCTTGTATGCCTCTAAATCAGGGAATAATAAATTATTCTTTTTGAATAGCTTCATAAGTTTGAAGTATAGGGAGGAGACTTCTATTTCAAATTACTTGAGTGAATTTCAAGGGCTCATTGATCAGATGTCAGGAATGAGTATCAAATTTGATGATAAAATTTTGGGATTATTCTTATTGCTATCTTTACCAGAGTCTTGGGAGACGTTTCAGGTTTTTATTACAAGTTCTGCTCTTAGAGGTGTTGTTTCTTTGAAAACGACTATGGGTGGTATTCTTAATGAGGAGATGAGAAGGAAATCACAAGATTCTTCATCTCAATACGAGGTACTTGTCACTGAAAATAGGGGGAGAAGTCATAAAGAGGAACCGAAGGGTGGAAGAGAGAATATCAGAAACAAGTCAAAACCATGATATAAGAATATGGAGTGTCATTATTGTCACAAAATAGGACACATATAGAAGTCACAAAATAGGGCACATATAAAAGTATTGTTATCAGTGGAAAAAGGATAACAAAGGCAAGAAAGATAAGTAACAAAGAGATCATGAAGATCAAGATGATAACCATGTTACTACTGCTACTTGTAATGATCTTGTTATTATACGTGATCATGCGTCTGTTAATATCGTATCAGACAAGGGCATGTGGATAGTTGACAAAGGTGCTACATAGCATGTTACATCAAGGATGGATTTCTTTACATCTTATACTTCTGGCGATTTTGGAGTGTTGAAGATGAGTAATGATGGTGTATCTAAGGTAATTGGTGTTGGTGATGTTTGCTTGCAAACCAACATGGGAATGTAATTGTTGCTTAGAGGTGTCAAACGTACTCTGAATGTCTGCTTTAATTTGATCTCTGTACATATGCTTGATGATTGTGGTTATGACAATCACTTTGGCTCTGGAAAGTGTAAACTTAACAAATGTAACTTGGTTGTGGTTAGAGGAGAAAATATTTATAAATTGTATTGGAAAAAAGCTTTGGTTGCTAGGGACAATGTGAATGTTATCGACATGGAAGCATCTTTGTGGCACCGAAGGCTTAGTCATATTAGTGAAAAAGGGTTGAATGTTTTAGTCAAAAAGGATGTTCTTCAAGGTTTAAAGAATGCATATTTGGAGAAGTGTTCTCATTGCATGGCTGGTAATCAGACTAGAATATCTTTCAAGATACATCCTCCACCAAGGAAGTCAAAGTTGCTTCAATTGGTACATTATGATGTTTGTGGTCCATTAAAGGTAAAATCTGTTAGTGGTGTAGTTTATTTTGTTATATTTATTGATGATTATTCCAGCAAACTATAAGGTTTATGCCTTGAAGATAAAAGACCAAGTGTTGGAGAAGTTCAAAGAATTCTATGCTTCAGTAGAGAGGCAAACAGGCGAGAAGCTGAAATGTGTTTGTTCTGATAATGGTGGTGAGTATTGTAAACCATTTGATTCCTATTTCAAGCAAAACGGTATTGCACATGAAAAGACTCATCCTAAAACTCCTCTATTGAATGGTTTAGCAGAGAGGATGAATCCAACACTAATTGAGAGAGTAAGGTGTATGCTCTCTGAAGCTAAATTGCCAAATAATTATTGGGGTCAGGAACTTTACACGGCGGTGCATATTCTTAATCTTACTCCTACTGTTGCTTTGAACAATGAAGTTTCAGACAAGATTTGGTTTGGAAAGAATGTCAAGTATGATCATTTGAGAGTCTTTGGTTGTAAGGATTTTATGAATATTCCAAAGGATGAAAGATCCAAGTTGGATGCAAAGTCAAAACAATGTATATTCATCAACTATGGGCAAGATGAATTTGGTTATAGGTTGTATGATCCTGTAGGGAAGAAGTTTATCCGAAGCTGCAATATAGTATTCATGGAAGACCAAAATATTGAAAACATTGATAAAGTAGAGAAGTCTACACCCAAGAAAGATATCATTTTGTCTAATGTTGATCTAGTTCGGTTACATAATCATAATCTAGATGTTATTGGTGGTGATGATCATAATGGTGATCCATATGACTATGTTGATGATCAACAACTTGGAGATGAGGTAAATATTCCAACTAATGATGATGATGAAGGGGAAAATGATATGACTCGGGATGAGAATCTTGATGAAGCTCTAAAATCATCTCAAGTTCAACTTAGGAGATCTATCAGGCAGAGACAACCTTTTACAAGGTATAATTTTGATGAGTATGTGACCTTGATTGATGAGGGTGAACCTGAGTGTTTTCAAGAGGCTATGGAAAGTGATGAAAATCAAAAGTTGTTAGATGTAATGCATGACGAAATGAAATCATTGTATGATAATCACACTTATGATTTAGTGAAGTTGCCTAAAGGCAAAAGAGCTTTGGAAAACATGTGGATTTATAGAGTTAAACATGAGAGCAACTATAAGTCTCCAAGATATAAAGCTAGATTAGTGGTGAAAGTTTTTCG